GACGATGACTCTGGTATCAATGGGGAAATCACGTACACCGTAAGTGAAGATGATGAAGAGGGTATCTTCTTCCTGAACCCTGTTACCGGAGTCTTCAACCTGACTCGTGCGCTGGACTATGAAGCACAGCAGTATTACATTCTTACCGTTCGCGCAGAAGATGGGGGAGGCCAATTTACTACCATCAGAGTGTACTTCAATATATTGGACATCAACGATAACCCACCAGTGTTCAGCATGACTTCATACAGCACGTCTTTGATGGAGAACCTGTCTCCAGGATCCTCTATTCTCAACTTTAGCGTCACTGATGCGGATGATGGTAGGTGTTTCGTCATATTCTGTATGTCTGATAATAAATACATATTTCACCTTAGCAATATATTAGAAGACCTAGTAGAAAGGGCAAATTAGGGCTATCCTTAGGATGCGTTATATGCTTAAATTCACTGCATGGTATGTAAATGAAGTTATTTTTCTCATATTTTACATTAAGTTTAAACGGTTGGTTTCTTCCTTATTTTTCTTTGTGATAAATTCAAAATATGGTCAAATACTGCTTTTAACTGCTGTTGTGGAAATGAGTTGCAGAGCTGTATTTTACCTAGAGCGTGTTACAGCAGTTGAACACCGTGATTTCTCCCCTGGTGCTTAGGTTGCACATTTAAATTAGACCTAAGTGTTCTTGCAGATTGTTTTTTCTCTTAAAGTTTGTAATGTATCCTAAACCACGTTCTAGCAATATGAGACATCATCTGCAATCATCTTAAATGTACTGTAACTTTTAAGTGTATCACAAAGAGAATTGTGATCTATGGGTTACCATCATGGGAAAATGTCTCATTAAAATAAGCTTTAATCTTGGGGTTATTTATGGCATCTAGAAGGTGTTAATGTGCTGGAGTGTAAAAGATACAATCTTTATAGCTTGCTTAACCATTTTGCCGTACAGTTTATGTCCAAGAAGAATAATTATAGAATATGGCCATAAAATACATAAAAATCATTCTATAGCATACTGCATTTTCTTAAGTGTCCACAGACATTAGTCTGTGTGGCTTAGTACAAAATTATTCGTAACACTTATATTGACTTTACAGGTGAAGGTTATTTTTGTGACATGTTAAGCAACCTCATCTCCTCTTAACTTGATACTGGCTCAGCAAAGCCCATAGAAATGTCTTGCGCTGAAATGTGTTCTTCAGGCGCAGAGCGCCTAGATACTTCCAGGGATCCCAGTTTATGCACATAAAACAACTGAACTGATCAAGATTATTCAGTAAAACAGTTTTTCCTCAGGAAATGCTGAGTTGTTGAACTCAAACATTTTTGTGGGAACATAAATTTTGTGCTGATGGATAGAACTTTCCATGGTAAAAATTGTGCAACTGGTTTTGAGATCAGACTGAGAAACTGAGCAAGAAGAGATTCCATAAAATAAGCCAACAAGTCAGAAAATGTAACTTGGTGATATTGGCTATTCTTGCGTGGATCTCTTTCACCACTCTTGTTAAAGTTTTTATTTTATGTAAACTAACTATAAGTTGGAGGAAAAACTTGTGCTTGCATCGTGCATATCCAGGGAAGGGATTGTTCCTTCAGAGCTGTAGATAAATAGGTTTGTCTCTATCTCCTCTGTTATTTCTTATTTTCCTATTAGGGGTACAATACTTGGTTTCAAATCTTTTTGGAAGTTAATTTTACTTAACCGTTATGGGTCTGTTTTTCTTTTCTCTTGCACCTCATACATTAATTTCCATCTGCACGCAGTGGACATGAACTATATCCTAGCACTGACATATCATTTTACATTCATCATGCACTCAATTATCAAGCAAGCAAATGCGTATTTGAGGAGCAATGCAATGAAAAGTCAGATATCGTGCCTTTTATATTTTCTGGCACTCTTACTTTTCTAACAGGCTGGATTTAAAATTAATAGGGCAGAAATTTCATTTCAAGAGCGTGCCAGGTTGAGTTCTGCCATAGGACTGTAACTTCAGCAAATGTTATGAGCTATTGGTGTTTTTGTTTCAAGCCCAAACTTGTTATTCTGTGTCATCTTATATTTATCTAAAGTACAGAAATAGCTAGTACTATACTGCCCTGCATGTGGCTCACAGATACTGCACTCAACGCACGCAAATATAATTTTGTTGATTATTTACATTATATGATCCCATAGTTTGAATGAGCTCCAAAAAGACATTGTTTTATAAGGAGGCATGCTTGTTGTTTTAGGATAGACACTGATAAAAGACAAAAACATGGTGATAGTGAAACTGCTCCCATTTTCATTTTCTTGTTCCACACAACCCTTGGGAAAGAGCAGCTGTTTATCTCAGCTTGGACAGTTTCATGTACAGATGCATAGTAAATACCAGCTACAGCTCTTGGTTATTTACTGAGCAGTAAAGAATGCAGTTTCCTTAAACATATTCATTTTGAGATTCAGATTTTAATTTTTTTCCACATCAAATTAACAGGAAAATTCTCAAGGCAAAGCACGTGCTTGTTTATTTGTTAAAAAGTATAGCAAGGTATCCCTCCAGGCAAAAACCAGTGGGATTTCCCTGTTAGACTCTATAGATATTTACATGGGGGGGGGGGGCAAGAGGGCTTTTTTTT